GAACATCCCGGTCAAAGCCTTAACAGTTACTTATTTTTTCGATGACCAATGTAGTCGATGTTTCTAATTTTCATCATCTGCATCCTTAATAAATGCCTTGTTCTTTTTTCTTTAAACTACAACCAAAATCAGGCCCATTTTATTTCCCAGTAATAAACACTTCGCTTTAATATTTTAAAACCGAATTTAATCGAAATAATAACAGTACACTTCACCATTATAGAGATGAATCATTGATAAAGTTGCAGCTTGGCAAACGAAACGCAAAAATCGATTAACGCTACTCATTGATGAAGTTGCAGCTTGGCAAACGAAACGCAAAGCCCAGAGATTTTTTATAGCACGAAAGCACGTTGTAACGAAAAAATGCACTGTAGTCTAGATTTCAAAGTGAACTTGTGTTCGGAAAACAGATTCAAGATATTTCAGACATATTTGCCACATTCCTGACGAGTGTTTAAAACAAAATTATCGTTATATGAATACAATTTAATATTTTCTATACTATCTTTGACTTGAACAAAACGTTCAATGACTACTGGCCAAAGAGTCTAGTTCTTATTGCAAGACGAATTTGTCAAAGGTTACAAGGTACAAATATTAACTTCTTTGGGTGTATTAGAACAAAGACTAATAATTCAGTCGAGTGGCCAAGTACAAAATAATTGTGGATGTACTTCGTATAGAACCCACTGATACAGACCGAAAACAGCGGAAGGTACGAGCTCTGAGAAGTGGTTGTCAAGACAACCCTTTAAATGTGACTGAACTAAAGGCAAATATGGATATTTTCCTTGCACTCTACTGTACCGGCACTTTCAACACTATTTAGACAAAAAATAATATGAATGTTCATGATGTAACTAATTGGTAAAATGTAAGTATTTTTGAAATTAATAGGGAATTACATAAATATCAGATAATACTCACAATTTACCACGGAGGTCATTCACTTGGGCGTTCAGGTCGGAAATCTGTTCAAATAACATCAAAAGCAAGATAAGTTATTTGGTATAATATGTTATATTCATGTTTGAATAATGCTGAAACTGAACTCCTGATTACATTAATTTTTTTTTCTTTTGAAACTTATTAGAAATTATAAAAATATTTAATTTCAACAAAGTATCTGGCTTTATACTGAAAACTTCTATGGAATATCAAATATATATTTGTCTATAACAATAAAATATGAACGTCACAACAAATATAACAAAAAAACAAAATCTAAGCTACTAATTGAATTGGTTAAATTTCACTTTTACTGTTAAACAATTGGAGTTAGTAAAATACACATATTTTATCATATCGTGCGTATATGCAAATGAGGTTAATTACTACTTCTACAGTATTCTGCGTGAAAGCGTACGTTGTTAAAATATCTCACTACAGTTTTGTGTGGCGGTAGGATCTGAGTAAGAACAGGGTGTTACACAAAGCACAGCTAGTCTGACGACTAGAAACACAAGTCAGCGAAAAGCCAAATATTTTGCAACATAAAACAAAAGCGGAAATGGCCATCTTGTTTTGTTACCAAAATATTTCACGTATCAAATAAACACTACTGACTTTTCAGTGAATATAACTTTTGTAATTACAATACTGTTTAATTTGAATTTACCACATGGTAACATTTGATCTTAAGATTTCAGATGAAAGAAAGGACAAAGTGAAATGTTCCTTACTTTGGGGGAGATCGTAGTATTAAGAGTTGCCATACTAAATGTCCTTGTTGCCCAGAAATATTTTGGTGTCAGAGTAGAAGCCACATAAATTAAAGTAACGTAACAGGTGTGATGGTTATAACAAAGGGAGATCCATATTAAAATATACCAGGAAATAAATATTTAGTAAAACAAATTAATTATTAACTGGTTTTCTAAGTGACTTTCACGTTTAGCGAAACTAAAGAGACAATATATCTCCCGGAAAAATTTGGATCGAAGTACAATTCTCGTCTTAAAATGGTTTAATTTGCATTGTTTAGAAATTACAAAACTCTTGTGGAGTACTGTACAATTAATGAAGGAATATTCTGAACAATAAAGTTCCGGAAATTTCCATAATTGTTGTTACTAACAGAACTCTTGGGTACAATTTCGCTGCGAACGTGTGTGAGCATTTGAGGTCAACATTTCTAAGCCAACAGCGAGGTCTGATGGCAGCTTTGCCTTTATATAAATAACACAATTCCTCCTAAACATTTCGCACAAAAGTGCATTGATATTTATTATAAACTATCACCAATCGATTTTGGACTTACGTTACAAATTTTCATTGAAACAAAAGTTTGCCGCGTAAGAATGATTCACTACCCGGAGCAAATTTACAAATTCAGCAATTCTTTCAGCATGAAGTCAAGAAATAGTACAACTTTTTCAGATGTCTAATGAAATTACTGGGAACTGACGACAGCGCTAAACTCTCAGGATCAACACTTTTACTCACAATTCCTGAGTATCAGATAAAGTACATGAACACGGCCTATGAAACCTACGAAATGAGGAGATCTCTCAAAATATGCTGTACAACAGACCGAAATGTTTTAAAAATGTTGATTAAATGTTTAATAGTAGACTTAATTTACGAGTAATAAGCGAAATGAACTAAATTTTAAGTACCTGCCTTCAAATCTCACGAAAAAGAGTCCAATATTTCTAACTTCTGTACGTTAAACGCTTTAAGGAAAGGAGTACATGAAACACCAACTGGTCGAGGTCAGGCCTGGTTGTCGCACTACAAACACGTGGCAGCACTGCGTGACTTCGTCTATACATCCGAACAACAGACGTATTTACACTGACAACATATTTATACCGTAGATGAAAATGGCTGTCTTCTGGGTTGTAACGCCGTGTAGTCTGGTAGAAATTTATCAGCGTTTCAGAGATACTGCCTCCATCATCAGGGCGATCCCTGATGATGGAAGTAGCAAATACCCCTGTAACACTTGTGATTTTTTTTTCCAGACTACACGGCGTTACAACCCAGAAGACAGCCATTTTCATACTCGCCGCCGTGAGAAACTCAAATCATAAATGATACCGTAGAATTTTATATATACAGGTTGAACAAAGAGTCACACAACCCTTTCCTCACATGTCATATTTCTAAAAAAAACATATTGAAATAAAAAAATAACACAATGTTTTACTAAAGTGCAGGAAATGTACACGAAATGAATGAAGGCTTAAGACAATGCACTCTGATAAGAAAGTTTTACAATGAAGGCTTAAAACAATGCACTCTGATAAGAAAGTTTTACCGGTGACTTTCAAGGAATGCGTGACAAAGTTTAATGAATATAATCCAAACTATCGATATCAAACATCGATAGTCGACCGGAACGTTTTCTTTCATACGCCCTTCATTTGTCGATTTGTTTAGCGTAGGAGAATCGAAAAATCCCTAAACGTATTCTGGCAAGTTACGTAAGAACGAGACGCAGGTCGTGTTCGATAATGAACACTCGCTGCACTTCGACTGCTGAAAGACAACTGACGATCTGGTGCGAATAGTTAACAACATGACGTGACCTTCATTGGTTCTTCTATAGCGACAGTGGCGCTGCGTGTTTGGTAACCCAATCAAATTGTACTGAATTACAACCAAAATTAAATATTTTAATGTGGTTACGTGACTTTTATTTCATTCTGTGCACATCTGATAATCATAGACATAAATAGAGAGGCAAGATGAAATATTATGTATCAGACCATTATTCAAGTAGCACGATGGCCGATATGTGACTCAGACAAACGTGCTATTTAGAAGGAAAGCTTTGAGGTCGGCTGACGAGTTACGCAGTGCTGGCTATGGTATGTACAAAATTGTGAACACACAGGATTTAGGATGTGGTGCAAAGTCCAGTCAGCATGGCACTTGTGAATTCTGACTTCGAAGGTGACCGCTCGATGCTCGGGGTCTCGCAACTGGATTTGGAAAATGAAGTGAAGAGGCGTGGCTGCTGAAATATCCGCCCCTATTAATCTAAAAATATATTCAAACGTACCGTAAAAATACAGCCAGATATTTTACATAAAATGTACACATTCACTGCTAAAAAAAATCGATCACTGGTGAGTTAGGAAGTAATTTGGAATTATAAAAATATGAAGTGCCATACTTTGTTGCTAGGTGACAAGAACAATGGAACATTTTGAGACTTCTAAATGCTTACGGCATGCTTTTCGGTGGAATTATTAAATTTTGTTATAATTACAATGAATAAAGTAGCAAGAATAAGACACATATGCATTGGCAAGAACTTCACCTGCTAACAATCAAACATGTGATTTTAAAAAGCTGTACGATCTGAGGATGATTTGGCGATAAAATATTTTTGAAATAAAAGCTAAGTGGAAGAAACGTAACAAGTACTTATTAGGTAGCGGGGTGTCTTTAAAAGTACCAAGTGACAAACAGAGGACCAGGAAGTGATTAAAAATGAAGGAAGCTGGCTTTAAAAAAGAGAAAGATGTACAGTTGTGTATCTTCTAATAATTCGGGAGACATGGCGCCGCCATTTTGGTGGGAGAACAGCACAACTTCATGTTAACTGGCTTATCACGATGACGTTATGGGTCCTTAGACTACCGATTGTAGAGTGCATGTGCAAAACTAGATTAGTCTCAATTTCGTGCACACACAGGAGGAAAAAGAGGTGCCGAGAGCTCTCGACCGGTGAAATGGCATCAAGCAGGTATTTTAATAAAGACATGAACTTTTTAGACTAGTATTCTAGGTTCAAAACAAATTAAAACAATTATTAAACTGACTTATATAAAGATTACAATGGGCTCTGAAGTCATGCTCGAGAAACGGCGATGGAAATTATGCCAGCCATTTTATGTCTTACATAATAATAATAATAATTGCTGTAAAGCAGCGTTTAGAATGGAGTTTGCACCACACAGGAGAATTGTCAGTTTCTAATCTATTTTTACACAACGTATCCATTCTAGTTGTTGACAAGGTTTCTTTGCAGTGTGTGTATATGTACAAGGGGCAGGGCAAAGACATGTTAGACGGTGCTGCCTACCCAGCCCTTTGAACTCGAACATTTTCGCGTGTAGGAGCACTGCAGACATTATTTAATTTATTTTGTTTAATGAATAATTTTAAATGGTTCAACACTTTGGTGCGCCAATTTGTTTTAATTGCTAGACACAAAAGCTTGCTTCAGAACGGTATTTTTGCTTAATGCCCAGCGTATTATTTACACTTAAAAGGCGAGGAGATTGGGAAGTTGGTGATGGTAGTTGATTTATGTTTGAGTAAAGTGAAGCACTTCATATCAGAACGAAACAAAGGGCGCTGCACTTTCAGCTGTGTTTAAGTACTGAGTTATCTGCTCCTTTCACTCAGAGTCACGACCAAGTACGAACGGCCCAATTTAGCAGAAGTATGCAAACGTTCAGCCGGGGCTGGACAGGCGTTTACAGACTTCTCCATGGAGAAACAATCTGTCATGGGGGGGGGAAGACTTTGCTTCAAAAGTGGAGAAGTGTAGACAAATTCCAAAATTCCTTCCACTTCACAAGGAGGGGAGGTGGGGAGGGCATTGGAATTCCGTCCACACACTCCGTTGTCTCCATACCTCCCAGTCCCTCTTTTTCACTTCATGTTCCAAATCCCATTTCTGACCCTCACACATTAACACGCGATCGTAATACTCCTTGATGATTCTCTTCAGTAGCGCTAAAAGAATAAATATAATCATGTGAAGTACACACTCTCATCAAGGAAACCAAATGGCTTCTTGAGGACTTTCCATGTGACACTGGACAGTCGTTCAAGATACCAACTTCATTGTTCTGATAAGAAAATTAAGTAATCTCATGTATAGACACTCGTTTTTGCATTATTACGTTATCTCAATTTAGGGAAATCTACTGGTACTTTGACAAAATATTTATGACATATTAACATGTATTGCTTTATTGTGTATTCGGTTTACTTACGAAACCAGAGGACAGACTGAGTTTTGCTGTTAACAATTGTGAAATAAGCAATTGGATCATTTTTTTGAGTCAAGTTAATCAAACCCCATTTCTTAACCTGCTTCGAAGTATAGGTTAAAACGAATATATAATGTGAGATATTAATTATATTGGTTAATAATTTTGTGGCACATTTTACATATTCATTTTGAGACGTTAATGTTTGAACAGTGCTGTTTTATTCTGGTGTTGGTGTAAGAGAGTGTGAAGATCTCCTGGACAAACAAATTACTCACGTCATATTCTGAAAATAAGCACGTAGAGAGGGCATTCAGGTATTTTGGACACAGCGCTGTGTTAAGGAGTAGAAGACTAACGTTAGAGCAATGCAGAACATTGATTGGATAGAATTAAAACTCGCACAAATATCCCATTTCTTTACCTCAAATTCTTTCACTTTACTTATTCTCTCTAAATCCCATTTAGCACTCTCTAATGTGTAAATTTTGTCCCAGTACTGCTTGCAAAGTGTTTGAAGTTCGACTAAAACAAAAAGAAAGAAGAAAGAGACACAAGAAAGAAAATGTATTGTTAGTCACAATGAGAACTAGGTTTCTGCTAACGTTCCAGTCGCTGGCCCAATCAGAATACATCATGGACCAATGCCGGGGGAAGGGTCGAGAAGACTTCACTGTGAAAAACCTGATCGCTTTATAGTTGCACATCGAGATCCAAAAGCTTAAAAAATATATTTTAATGTGACGTAATATAGTGTCATGTATAGCTGATTAATAGTAGCATGAAGTTGAATTTATTTATTTATTTATTTCCTGCATTTTGAAACAGCCAGACAAGGCCAGTTAGAGGTAACCATAAAAGATGTCAGTAAAACAACGTATTTTGTAAAGCAAATTATATGATATGGCATAATCATGACGAAAGAAATCCAAATATAACAAAAACAGGATCCAAATGTGCAATATAAAAGCGACATTTCTAAGCGAAAGAAAGGTTAAAATAAAATTTAATTACAAACAATAATATAAAATGTCTTTAAGCAAATTTCTGTTAAAAATGTCAGTGTCCTTACACATAACATTGACGGCAGAAAAACGTCTGACCAAATGACCTTGAAATTGTGGTTTACCATAAATGTAAAATGTAATAACAGAGGTATATGCATTATTTTTTATATGAATTGTCAATAATAGGTGTAAGGTACTTTAGTAAATATTACGTGTCAAGAAATTTTAAAGATTAAAGTGATGTTAGATTTGGCAGCGACTTCTCGAATCGAGAAATTATTTTTCTAAGTGAATATAATTCGGTTGACTGTTTTGGCGTTATTGGACTATTAAAAGAAATGCAGGACTACTGAGATGGCAGGTCGACCCATCACAGAACAGCACGACACAGAAGATGCGGACACTTATCCCATGCTTTCAGAGGGATTCCCAGCGACAGCGCGGCCACTGTGATATATATGAAATATCGATTTACATTATTAAGTCTACTAGTTGTCACCTAACCTCAAACATAGAAATACCGCAAATACAATAATTTCTTGAGAAATAATTTGATTTATATTACAAAATACAAAATATTTATCTTCATGTTCGCGCTTAAATCTGCTGAATTTTCTGAAGCAGAAAGAAGTATTTCTTAGAATAAAAAAATAGAAAAAACTGGAAGTTTTAAGCAGATAATACGATAGAAATTATGACGTTAGTGGCAGTTATTCAGTGAATGCTGAGAAATGGTACGAAACAGAAGTTACAATATCCGTAGCCCAAACTAAGTTATTTACGTTCTTTATCTATGATAAAGCGTGTACAAAACACGGAAAGGAGAAGTACAGAATTACAGTGTCTTTAAATAATGGCAGAGAAGTGATTTATATTGCATTTCGTTTACTCCGAAAGTCTGCGAGGCTCAAATATACTCCAAATAACAAGCAACAGAGTCGTTTTGGGTAAATTTAAGCGACTATCAAAATAGAAGGAATCGTACACCTACAAATTAAGTTAAAGAACAGATCATATCAACAGTATATTATATTGTGTTGAAATAAAGAAAGCATTTTGTGATTTATTTGTCACTTTTGTTGTTTAATCAGTTTTACGGCTGAACTCTGTTTATTAAGCGGTAGTTTCAATATTGTGATAGTGGTGTGCATTTAACTGCTTAAAACTAACTAAGAAAAAAAACAAAGGAATTATTTTGTTAAACTATTTCCTAAACAAAATCTCTCCCAGAGAGCCTCGTACCTGCCGATTCGAATATGTTCTGATTTGATTTCCACACAGATTCAGGGCCCAGTGACCCCGTAAACCAGCGACAGAAGTCAAGCTTTGTTCGAAACAAACGTTGCGAATATTAAAGATGGCGATAATTTAACGAACCTGCTAGTATACAAATACGTAATCAGAACGAAGCTCACAAGATCATTTCGGTTTCAGTTTGCAAAATATTATTAAAGCTCTAACGGTACAACTAAAAACTACAAATGGCTACATTTTCATGTTCAACCATGCTTAGAAAATGCAACCAATTGCAAATCTGATTATTACACAAATATTTCCTATTATAAGTTAATATAAAACAAATTAAGATGGCTGTCTTCTGGCTTGTAGAGCCATGTAATATGGTAGAAGTTTACTGACATTTCAGAAGTGCTAGTTATCTGAGTCATGAAAGAGATAAGTAGCCCTGATGATGGAGACAGCACGCACCATTAAAACATCGGAAAACTTCTACCACAAGACAGCCATCTTCATACTCGCCGCTGTGAGTACCTGAAATCCTACTTATAAAACAAATGTATGGATTCATGCGTCTGGAAATTGCAAATTAGGTACGCGTGTGTTACGGACGTGGTCAGAGATCTTTGAAAATTCAAAAATGAGAGATCGCAGTGCATCACAGCAGTATTGAAACCAAAGAATATCAGAATGTATGGCTGCAACATTTAAAAGCACAGATTTAAATAAGAGTGGCTGATTTAACACAGTCGATAGAACGTTGATGTGAAGACAGAATTAAAGAATAATAATGATTAGATTGAGTTAAATACTTCAGAGTTATGTGAATGCAAACTCACATTGTTAAAATATCCGATTCCTTTATCTGTAAATGAGGAAAAATGAAAGAAAATGTGCAAAAGAAATGTAAGAAGACTGTTAGATGCCTGGTCTATCTTCACAAGAAATGTATTAAAGTGAGTTTGTTAAAACATCACGTGGCCAAAACTGATTCCAAGTTCATGAAACGAGGTCAAGATTTACTCTTGTATCTGAGTGTGTCTCAAGATGCTATCTCTACATTTATGTGTTTAATCTACGGACAAAAGCAGTAGCAGGCTCTAGAAGAGACAAAATCACGATTAATTAATCTCGGGTTACTTATTTAAAGAAACCACATTTTCCGCACTGACCTCAAAGTGATCAATTATTCCAAACAACTGTCCATTATTTGTCAATATCTGCATCTACACAATGCAACGCTGCTTCGTTAAATTAGTGACTCTACACAAATAATACTGAAAATCATGGGATAAACTTTCCATAACGTGATGCAGGTAATGATTTCTGATAATATTAGGCTTTTGACAGTTATACAAAATTTATAGTGCACATAAACTGCCAAAGTACGTTTAATAAATATAAATAATGCAGAATGTGCTGTTACACTTTTTGTAGTTCATCTTCATCGATTAGGCATTAATGCCTGATCCAAATCAGAAATATACTTCTGAAATAACGCATTCTTTCGACATTTTATATGCCTCGTAAGACGGATGATCAGTCTGAATTCTCTCTCTAAACAGGAAAACAAAACACATCAAAAAGGGGACATTATTTACCTCGAGTGGGATTAAAAGCCACGACCTTAATTTTTGTGTAACCAAGCACAACGCCCTGGGCAGCGTGGGCACTCTGATATCCTATCATTTTTTTTATAAAATATATTTATTACTTTAAACAGAATTTAATACCGAAGAAATGTAACTGACCGGCAACATTGTGTTCATTACGAAGACATTTTGTGCTTCTGTACAGACAAGATGGCGGTCATTGAAAAACATGAACGTGGAATCTCAGGCTGTGGAAAAGAGACAGCTGCGCAGTGATACGAAAAGAACGCGACGTTGCAAATAAACAAATTCTACCTCGAAGTCTTTCTTTTTAACGGCGTATTCCAGATCAAACTTCTCGTCTTCCAAAGTGCTGATTCTCGCGTGGTAGTCTCTGAGCACGCGCTTTATTGTATCTGCGACGGACAAACATACACAGACACACAGACACATAAGTAACATATACATAAATTAAACACAATTGACTTAATTCCGCTTTGTTTCCTAACAAGACGGTCAAACTGTGCGATCCCTGCGTCTAGAAACGGAGTCCCGAAAACTGTCTACTTGTTATACACATCCGAGGTTGATCTGCAGATTTTGATCATGGCACCAACATCACCCCTCGTCTACCCAGCTTAAAATTATAAAATATGAGTAACAGATCTCGATAACCTTCAATGATCTCGCATTTAAACAGAAAAATGTCTCGAAGTTATAATACAAAAGTTATAAACTTCAGAATATAGGACATTTGGACACGATTTCAGGCAATACATGAATAAATTAAATTGTTTAAAAAAATTTTTTACTCAAAAATTGATAACCACTTGTGAGTACCTTTTGGTAAATCTAGTTAACTTCACTTCACTATCACTCTTCGTAACATCTATATTTAAAACACTGGCCGCATGGAAGGGCAGCTTGACAGAATATTTTTCATGAAATTTCATCTGCTGGAATTTTAATGTACGTGTATGGAACAAATCCTTTCTGATATTAATTTTGAGACTATTTTTTTACAAACTGTAAGCGGGACTACTGCATTAAACACACACCATTTATGTACATGGAAGATGTTTGAAATGTAACAATTTTTAATTAAATGTCATGTATTAGAATATATATTTAATAGGCATAAATACAAGGCTTACGCAGGGGATCATTATTTCCTTGCGAGATGTCGAATATACTTACTACTCAAAAACTCTCATAAATCTTCCACATACAATTTGACAGACTTCTGTAACGTAACAAAATTGTAGCTGCGTGATTCTGGGCTTAGAGTATCTAGTACAACACATGAATACTGGAATGTAGAAATGGATATGTCTTTAGAGAGATCTTTCACACTCGATTATATTTAAAATTTCCTGCTGTTAGATTTCCATGGTAACGGAGAGGTATGAATCTCTGTACCAATGAAACAGTGTTGGGAATAAGTAAGGTGGGATCATCTTCCACAATACTTATGAATCAATTCTTACAAATTATAACCCGATTTTAATTATGTTTAATACCGGAAAGTTTTGTGAAGAATATACAAACGCATGTACAATTTTATTTACATCGAAGTATTTTAACGACCATTTAACATGGCAGCGCAAATATATTTTTGAAATTATTTCAAATGCTTGCGAAAACAAGTTGCAAGAACAGATTAGTTAGCTTATTTTGATAAATGCAAAAACATTAGTTATATAAATATAGTTTAGCTTATTCGAATAATTCATTTCAGCAATAACTTATTAAAATCAATCATTATGATCAAATATGACGTCATACGGAATTCAGTTCAATTTTCATTCTCCATTTCCCAACACCTTACTTTTCCCCACCACAAGTGAAATTGTGTGTTGTTATTTTGTTTAAATATCTCACACATATTGTCTTTAAAATTGTATTTCGATGTGAAATCACCCAAAAAGTGCTGAAATTTAAAAAAATCACATTCAACTGTGCCCTTTAGCAATCAACAATTTTCCATTCTCATCCTAAGTCGGGCATAATGTTTCAAAGTTATGAAGACATAAGACACTTCCTACGTGCACAGGAAACTATCAATGAATGAATTTGTTGTCTATAGTAGTGTACATGACTAGATTTCTCATAAAGACGTGCAAATTAACAACGACTGAAGAAGTCTAGAGATACAAAATTTATTCTGTGCACTTATAAGCAGAATTACATTAGTCGCAAATGAGACATCCTTACGACTACCATGAGATATGTTATAAATTACGAAGAAATGTATTTTATTTCCTGATATGACGCATTCTATTGGCTGGAGCAACTTGTGACACTACTTCCGGACAATATAAATATATTGGATGCCACGAAGTGTGAAGCCTTTTTTATTACGTGTAGCCATGAAAGTGAATTGTATTGGTGATGTGTGAGGAGTACGTTTAATTTAGAAAACAAAGTTCATATACGTATTTTAATTTTTACACTAAATTATAATTTTCATTTCTTTAAAAGTCCAACATTTTATAGTTCGACATGAAAAGATTGCACCATAATTTAATATCAGTTTTATTTAATAAATTTCAGGTGTTATGAGCAGAAACAGATGGCGTTTTTTAACGAGACATCTTGTTCGCATTATGGAAATAGATCGCATTCATTAGAGTGTTATGTTAAGATCTGTGTTCATACAAATATTGACGGTTTAAATTTAAGTTATATTTTAGCTGTTTCAGTTTCTCCACTGAATTAAATCTTCTACCCTTGTATCTGGATCAATGATGAAGCTTGATTTAAGTCAAGTGTGTAATTATTGTGTTTGAAATACAATTTTTCCTGTGATTCAAATTATTATTTAAACATTATGTAACTGTTTCAATTAAAAATAAATAACATTTAAATTCAATGAATTAAGGTAAGTACAAGAGGCAGCAGAACTTAAGAGAGCTAATTTCTTTATCCAAATACCGCTTGAACATTTTAAATCAAACTTAATGTTTTACTATATTAGCAAATGGAATATCGACAAGAAATCAAGATGTGGTCCCGAACGAACATAAAACTCTTTATTAATTTTTTTTAAATTTTAGTCGTGTGTCACATTCAAGTGAGCTTGGTATTTGGATAAAACCTCTTTTACAGTCTTCAATCAAATGAAAGTGGTACGAGAAGGGAAATTACTTGATTTGGTTGGAAACTACGTTAACATTTATGATACTGATGAGAACCTTACAGCGTCTTTTACTCACATAACTAACATCCTTGTCACTGCATAAAAGTGGCCGTGAATCAAAAATTAATGCTGGTTTAATAGATTTTATGCGTGGAATACTTATATGGTGTATGTTAAGATGAAATATAAGATACACTTAAAGTATTTATCGATATAATGTTACTATAATGGCTGTGTTCAAGACATCATCAGTCCTTCAAACTCCATCTTTAACCCCCAGCATTCTGGAAAACAGGCCCACTTTCATTTGACTAAAAATTCCGAACATTTGGTGTTCTGAGTTGTAACCCCGTGTGGGCGTATAATTAGATAGCACAATTTTGGAGGAATATACGCTCTCTAACACCATCTTCAAGATTGTATCTTCATCCCTGAAGTCTGGAAGTTCCTCTGAAACGTCAGTATCTACCTATAAGTCCACATGACGTTACAACCCCAGAAGACAAACATGGACACCTTTACAATCTACAAATTGTCACGTGATATCAGTTCTATAATTGTAATTACACATAATAACTTTACTGTGCTTACCTTCGTTAGCGTCGTCAATATTTTTGGGTTTACCGCAGCGTTCATCAATAATCCTCCTCCTCTCGGCTGCTTTCCTCTCCTGTTCCTTCTTCAACTCTTCAGCGGCCTTCTTTCTCAGCAATAACTGCATAAGGCATCATTACGCAAAATGTTCTGTGTTAGTGAACGGTCCTTAGTTTGACTAAACTGTAACTTACTACGCGGCACTTCTAATTATAGAATTATCGACCCTTTAACTGTCAGATGTCCGGGGGTTGAACCACAATACAAAAGGAAGACTCGAGACATACGCCAAAAACATGTCAGTTGATATTAACTTTTTGCGCGCGTCTCTAAAGCAATGAGACCGGAAGCCAGTCGCGTAGTAAGTTGACCTCGTTCAGATGTGACAGTGAAAGGGTTAACAAAATAAACACGCAAGGCGCCACAAGTTTGATAGAATTTTTTGACAGGGACAACCCGTTAGAATGGGTACTAGAAATTAAAATTTAGGTAGCCCATGTATCGAAATATATCTGGAAACATAATTAAGCCTCCGTGTAAAGTTTTGGTCCATAATGACAATTTTAAATACTCAGTAACTAAAATTCCTTTCACTTTCACAACAGTTCTCATTACTACTACAGCCGCTGCAAAGGCTCTAGATCTAGTATGGGCCTTAACATTTCTGCAAAAAGTATACTTCTACAGAACAGCACAACACAAAGAGTAGCTGATACACATCAATGCCTCAAGTGGGATTAAAACCCACGATCCCAGTTCTCCAGAGGCCAAGATTCATGTCTTGGACCGCGCTGCTACTGATTCTAGGTTCCAAATGTCGCAAAAATATGTTAATTTCTTGCGCAGTTACTGCGGTCATGACGGAGTCAAAGCTCCTGAAATTTACAAACTGGCGACGATACCGGAAGTCATTGTATTGACTTACTCTGAGCTTCTTCTTCCTCTCTGGGGTCATGAAACCCTTCTTGGCCTTCTTGGCTTTGGCCGTCTCCTCCAGGCGCTTGCGCACCTCAGCGCGTTTGCGGTCTATGTCAGCCTGCTTCGCCCTCTTCGCCTGAAAAACGTGGTTTAAGTTAGAGGTTGTGTGTGGACTTTATCAGACAAAGTTGCCGTCAGTAAATCGCGTGCTTCGAAGTCACGGAAGATCTTCATTTCCGTACCGTGCCGCTGTAAGTCACGAATACACTGTAGTTAGCGTTGCTAAACTGCAAATTCTGAGTTGTCTTCACTCACATGTACTCTGCTGTTTTTGTTCAAATATTGTACTATTTTGATTCGACCTTGAAGCAAGCAATTTGGTGACGGCGACAATAACTGAACCTTGAGCACGATATATCTATCTTATAAATTCTAATCATTCTCGTCTGCTTTTATTTGATACATGAAATAAAAGTGTACTGCCATGTCGCAGCATTTAAAAGTAAATGAAGTGAAGTTTTCTCGTGCTATCAACTACTTCAGCTGCAAACTTACACGTCTATCGCCCGAAAAGACTTCGCAGAAACCATTTTAATGGTTTTAACAACAAAAGTATATTAACTTGATATCTTTCACAGGTTTTTACCAGGGGCACAAAATTCTAAATCACGCAAAGAGAGATAAAATTAGTTTAGAAACTTACATTTTAACGAAACAATTAATATATTAAGGGCACGCATAAAAGATGGCAGACGACAGGTTGCCCAAAATAAATGTTGCAATGTAAGTCACTAGGAAGTAGTGGCAAGGGAAAACAGAGAAGGGAACGGAGGATGTAATAACACAGAGAAGACTGGACGGACAATGGACGGGTGGAGAAGAATAAAGACTGAGAATTGGAAGATGTACACACCTTCTGAAAGGTATAAAAATCATCCACGTTTATTTAACATGTAATAATTTTGTAATCGTTTTGCAACTGAAATTCCATTCTCGTAGTTAAGTTTGTTTAAGAATAACATTTCTCAAAGCGTTTCAAAACCTTATTGAAATTCAGAGTTTAATAAGTTTAGGACTTGACTCAATTTTTGGGATTCAGGCGACTTTTCAGTTACATAACGTGTAAAAAAATACGAAGTACGTTCACCAACACAAAAACTTACCTATATGATGTCCGTGCTTAAGGGTTAGCAACGAGACGCAAAGCAGAGAAACAATTCGTTGTTCAGTAAACTGAACCTACTGAGTAGGGAAACACGACTCGTAGAAGATAATGACTGAGTGACATAGGTAGGAAGTTTTACGCTGTTCCCTGATGTGTTCCAGCTTCTTTTCTAGGTATTGTGAGCCTACGCATCTACAGTTCACACTATTTGAAAAAAAGTGTTATATCCGCATATTTTTATTGTTACGGTGGACGAGACAGTGTCCCTGCGGAACTGAGCCTCTGATGGCCCCAATGTCCATCCCCCAGACGATACATGAGTGAATACGGAACAGTGGTAGAATGATACTGACAGGATAAAACCAATGACATCGGAGATCAATTTTTTCCAATACCATTTTGTCTACCATAAATGCCACAAGAGCTGCCCTGGAAGCGAACCCGGGCGTCTGCAGTGAGAAGCCGGAGACAAACAGACCGTAATATACGCATAGAGAAATTGTCAACATTTAAAGTGCGTTATTTAAATTGTCACGTGAGAAAGAAAATTACTATGCATTCTCGAAATAAGGTCCAGATACCACAAGCGGAATCGTAATGGCAACGGTCGACCGGGTACCCCTTTCACGTTTTGGTAGAAGGAGAGACGAATTAATCTCTTTAAATGTTTTTGTGCAATCAAAATGGCATTTTGGGGATTCATATTTCGCCTGTGGCCAATTTCCAACAGAACTGACAAAGAGTGCGTATACTTTCACAAAACGGACGGACATGCGTTAAACTGCATGCTGTGGTTAAGTTCCTATTTCTTCTCTTCTGGTTTGGTTAGTTTCAGACGTGGTGCATGCTGGTACATTACGTGCCTCCTCGATGCGCTTTCTCTGCAAAGGAAACAGAAAAGTACAAATTACATTAACGTCTGACAAACAATGCAAACCACGCAATGGGCAGAATTGTTGTAAAAGATCGTTTGCTATTAGCAACATGGGACAATTTAACAGTAATATTTTTAATATACAGTGTGATTCAATAGTCCCTGTGCAATTGCAAAAATATATATTTCTTATGTTGAAATTATTAGGGGTTAAAAGTGTTGGAAGTTGGATCTATGTAACTCAAAACACCCCTTTTCATCTCGATGGCGAAGAAACTTACCAATTCCTATTAAAATTAATTATGGCTTTCATTTTATAACGAAGACAACGGGGGTTGTCCTTATACTGACAGTTTCATTAAAGTCAAGTAGACAAGTTAAGCGACCTCAGTGGCCAGACGCCCCTCGAAATTAATTGCTCACCGAAATATCACGCAGAACTAGCATGAAGACATTCAAAACAATCCTGTTGGAAACATCCACATTGACTTGTCATTTAATTCTCAATGAATGTGTACAGAAACTGTTCACAGTAGCGTTCAAAGTACATGAGTCCTTACGTTAACAAGAAAACAATTGTTCTAGTATAACACTCAGGCCTGAAGAGACAACACCATTTTAACAGCATTTGCCCATGTGCAAAGAAATAGCACGCAGTCCATGGCAATACTGGATGAGAGAAAGGTGAGATGATGTCACTTAACACACAGATCAGGTGCGCCATTTGAGGCGTGTGTATGAATCATTTCCCGCTTTCAATATTTGTTCTTGCAGTTGTAAACGGATTTTGAATCATCCTGTATATAGAAATTACAGCTGTAAATACACAAAGAGTCCGATTTAAAATTGATATAAACAGATAATTCTGAATCTTAAATAAAGATAAAAATGTCAGCTTCAAGTTAAATACAATGGAAGCAACTGTAATGGAATTATTTAATATTTTTGATTTATCTGCTATTGCATGCATTTTTTTAATTTTGTCGTATTAATTTTAACGTTTCATTTCAACAAATGAAAGTGCATTAATAAAAACATATGAGTTTCGAAACTGAATTAAACTCTTAACAAAACTCACAATACATTTATTAGTATTTTATCTTCTCTCACCAAGCAATAATGACAATAATTTTGTCATTATAAGCTCATTATTATTTGATGAAAAGCTATAAAGTATGCGTTAATAAAAATAGCAAACAAAAAGTTGCAAAAACAAAAATATATATGAGCATTTTATATACAGTATATATTCGAAGCTCAATTATGTACAAAATATTATGCTTTATGACGAACTTGGGCTGTAAAATGAACAGTGAGTGTTTAAAAAAAACATTATACAACATTCACAAAAAACAATAAAAAACTAAAAATAAATAATTGCCAGCTGATGCAAGAAAACAGCAGAAAAATTGGTTTAACTGAAATTGTAAAAACAGCTTAGAAACAATTGCATTGTTTCATTTCAAGATGGCTGTGTGGTTGGGTAGTCGTTGCATGCCTAGAAAATAACGTATTGGAGAAGATGAAACCAAAACAAAATAATAATAGCAGCACAGAATTGCAACACATACAGCCATAGCCCTGAAAACACACAGCACGGCGGTTAGCATGAATCTGGTCTTACAGTTACAATCCTTGGATCCTCTTCTCGTTGGAGTCCTCTGGGCATGCGCCGTATATGTGTTACGGATTATGAATTTACGATATGTCCATAGTATCAAAAGTTATTGGAGAAGGTTATGTGTGCTGCCTAACCTGTATTTTATTGTAATTATCTTATTTATAAACTACCAGCATGGAAAATGTCTCCATGTGCACTATAATAATACTGGTAATCATGAATAAAATACATGATAATTAAACTGACAATTATAAAAGACAATATCAGAGTGATATAATGCGTCATATTTCGATAAATTTACAAAAGGAGACAGTCTGTTACATCAACATTATGCCGACCATTATTTGGGTTCTATTTTACAGAAACGACGTTTCGGGAATTGACTAAATTCCCGTCTTCGAATAATTGGTTGACATTATACTTCGAATTTTTTAAGATTAGTGCCAGTGTTTGGGGCAGAAACAGGGGCCAATTGAATTCTAGGCTATAACTTGAGAGGGATCCCCCGTTGCGAGGACCCAAGACGCCAGATGAGCCGCTATCCCGTTGTACGAACCTGTTATGCGGGTGGAGGTGTGACAGGGATCAACAGACAACACGCGTTGATATCAGCAAGTGGAAATCAAACTCCTGAAAATTTCTGGTCTTCCAAACACAAAGTTAAAAAAAAAGACTGTTGAACCTTAAAGAGTGCCAGATGAACCCATTCTATTTAATTAAAACTTCAGTTGTGTGGAAATTTAATTTATCATAAACAGTTGCGCGAAAAAAGGATTTTATGAAATCTGTGTCCTGATAGAATCGATAAATATGTTTATTTCATATTTTATATTTTATGCATTAAGTGAGCGAGCAAATATTCCTACCCTTATATATTTGATGCATAGGCTGTATACTAACGAATTCTTAGAGTGGGTGAGGCAATTTGCTTGTTCTAGCTTCAATGTACTCCTGACTTGAGACAAAGGTAAATTCATAACTGTGAAGAGGGAGTAGAATACAGCGCCACGTATTACTGTTATCGGTACTAAATTAATGTGAGTGGTTAAGATTCAAGATCGAATCGCTGTAACCCGAGTAAGGCCTTATTCATTAGATTCACTGGAAAATAAAACTACTCTAAACGATTGGTATGCGGCGAAAAGAAAAGAAATTCCTGTCCTGACAGAAATTAGATTCAGTTTACCCAATCCCCAGTCCAACATTCATTTACTGAGCAATCCCAATTCTAAAGATAGCATCAAGGAAATACGTGTTTACGAAGTTCACACAGTCTGTTATGAAATGAAAATGGATTCCGTTCTTTTTAATGTAGTCTATAACGTGCACTGTCATTAAAATAGTAGGCTATACCACGGATTAACATTTTAATCGCCACCGGCAACGTTAGCTATTTTTACTGCTGTTAACGGCCTCAGAAGAAAATGCTTCACGTAATGCAGAGAATTTTGTGAAAACTTCCTTTCATAATCTGTGTTTGTAATGCGATGCATCAAACAGTAGAAATTTCACCGACCATTGCTGACACAACACGGGATTTCTGTTCGAGCGAAAAAGCAGCTCTGTAGGTTTTTGGGCACTGTGAAGAGGTAAGAGGGGGGAGAGGGACGAGAGAAATAGCAATCAGTAACCAGGGCAACGACATACGTCATAAATATTTGAAATTCTTCAGGTGGAAGGGGAGGATTACATAGTATATTTATAATTGAACATGCACATATAGAGAACAAATGGTGAAATTTTACCTTTCGGATGCGAGGGGAGGATTACATAGTACATTCATAGTTGAACATGCACATATAGAGAAAAAATGGTGAAATTTTACCTTTCGGATGCCTAAATCAGTTTATAAATTTATATAACAGAACTTAAAGTAGTTCCACAATTGCAGACTGACACTTGGACATACTTACTCGCCTCTTTAACCGCTTGAACAAGAAGAAGGGGCAAATCAGGAAAGATACTGCTAGAATAGGAGAAAGAAGGGTGTTTATGGAGGAAAAGAGGCAGGACTAAACCTCAGGAGAGGAAAGAGGTTGTTACAAGGTCCCGAGGCATTTCTGTTCGTCTTACTGACAAGGATATAACGGAAGTGAATACGTTGTTATGGTAACAAGCAGAAGGTTGAGACAAAGACAAGATAATTTTTATTTTCTTACTGATAAATATTGAAATGGTAATTTAAAGAGGTAAGTAATTTTGTGGCACCCACAGCAAAGGAATAATTTTTATTAACTTAAATCGAGAGGGCTGCATGAGTGGCGTGCATTAGCAACTTGGAACATCGCAACCATCTCGATATTTATTTAAAGACAGGGGAAAGCCAAGAAGACTTCTGTTGAATGCTGACTGCCAGCAGTCCGGCAAACAAAACAATACAGTAGCTGTTTATTCTGAGAATCATACAAAATCAACAAATGCAATATGTAAGAGAATACAGAGTTACTCTTTGTTGATGCAAATGGTGTCTATAGTTACCACTAAGCTTTAAAGTGTTAATGGAGATTCTCATGACATGCAGGCATTAACCGTTTCTAGATGAGTCTGGAGTTTGAGACAAGTTATTTAATGTCTGTGTGCCTTATAAGTTCCATTTCTTTTTACTAAATAAAATAGTTTGCTAACGATATGTATCTTTCAATAAATAATCAGAAATATGTGGTAGAAAATCAGTGTATTTATTGTAAATCTTAATATAAATCAGGTAAGAAAACCTTCCCTCCCCTATTTCATCATCGGCTATTATTTGTTTCATAAAGATGGCATCGGCCGTCTAGATACTTACCTCACCTCATCGTCCGCCATGTTGTTGTGAGTTATAGAATCTGGGACCTGAAACAAAACACTAAACATTAACTACAGCATAAAAATAAGTCTAAACTGGATATTCCTCTCAAATATTATGTAACAGCCGCCATGTTGGTATCTAATTATAATGGGATTGAAATTACAGGCGTGGGGTGGTGTATTATTACGAGGTTAAGACATTTTAATAAAATTTATCAGCTGTCGTAAGAAGCAGATGTACACACGTAAATATTATCACACAGTAATCCAAGATTTCTTCATAAAATAAGTTATCGTGTGTATTCTTAAAATCAAAAGCTACGGAATGGTCTGACACGCGACTTTAGGTTGAAATAAATTAAAATAAATCATGATATGAGATCATTTTCAATATTAAAAAATGACAGATTTACACTTTTAAATGCAAAACTCAACTAATCAAATCTCACAACAAAACAAATAATAATATTATGGATTTTTAACACTACAGCTAACATTTTGTATGTTCTCTGACTTTTGTTCTAGGCCTATACAGTTATTATGAGTTTCCAGATGAAGAAACTCTTTATCTCACTACCTCCTTGTTGTCCACAGGCTATACCACCCAAGTTTGATATAAATGCCTCTGACACTCAAACAGCACGGGACGGACGCATTCCTGGCTCCACTACAGCTCTTGAAATAAGGAGAATAAGCGAGAAGAGTTTGACGTTTTAACATGTGATGTGGCTGTTTTGACTGGTGGCCAGCCAAGTGGCTCGGACAGCGAAACAGTGGCCTACGTGTTCGCAAAGAACTGACGTATTACGTCACATTCCTTGTAGCCTGACAGCGATGGAAGAGCGCCCATTTGTTTCGTAGTGACTGTTTGTCAGCATGTAATGACTTCAATCTGCTTCAACAGAACGTGTTGAAATTTCAAATGTGAGGTCTTTCCCAAAATATGTCTGAACATTGTATGTCAGTCCCAATTTTTCGAAGGTAATATTCACGTTGTCTGATGATGTGTGTGTTTCTGCGTGCGAGTAAACTTGTCCCTGTATCTAAACAACATGCTATTAAGGTGCATGGGGGCGTGGAGGTGACGCCTCAGTCATTCTCTACATTGACACTAGATGGAACTGAGTGTTCAGTTCCAAACTGAAGCAGAATTATCCCCAGGGAAAACTAATTTAGAATTCTTGTAATGGGACATTAGGCTGGCTTCAGTAACTTTCGTCACACAATTCAAGTAAGACAAGAAACCGAAAAATAGGTGAAAGGGTAGTATTTAGACAAATATTACAGGCTATATTAATACAGTAATCATTAGGGTTCGGGTGTTCATGACCTGAAAAACCGAGAAATTTGCATGCAAATATGCCCCCCAAAAATAGCGAAATATGACCCAAAAAGGCAAAATATGTCCTAATTTGTTATGAAAAAATATTCGCTAAAATTTTGAAAAAGACTTTTGTATTTCAATCATGTTCTTTATTTGCATATGCATGTACAACTTTTACATTACTTGACTTCCTAGCAATTTTAATCAAAAACCTTAGTCGCTTTAAGTTGTAAATGCCTCGTTTTGGATCATCATCAGACGTTGAGAATACTTGCTCCTATAAAAATAAGATAAATTTTAAGAAAGAGCCTTTCATGTATTTCAAATTCATTAATTACAAATAAATAAATAAACAAATTTCAAAATATTTAGTACCTTTCTTCATTATCCTTTCTTGGCAGCATTACGATAAATAACGATTTGCATTTTCAAGGTCTCAAATGAAAATCTTCTTAGATTGTCGCACAGTTTGGTCTTGTAACTTGAGACATCACAAACGTTTCATGGCGTTTTCGAAAATTACACCGATAGAGGAGTGGTTTACTGTATCAAGAAGGAATAAGTCACCAGGGCGGTTAGCAAAGAGCGTGCCAATAACGACATAACAGGCAGGTACACAGTTTTTTAGTGTTGATTCGTCTGGAATTAATTGAGTCGTTTATCTCTCCAAGAAAAATTTGAACTGCTCAGTGTTCACTTTGTTCAGTTGGCAGACGCCATCATTTCACACAGGGATTAACTGTACGTGTCTGAGAAATGTAGTTACAAGTAAAAGTTTGTACCCAAAATATAACCAAAATATGCATTTAACTATAAATATGACCAAAAACATAAAAATGACCTAAATATGCAAAATAAAAAACAGCTTAATTGTGATTAGAATGACCTAATTAGTGTTTAATTTTAGTTTAGAATGAAAATAGAAGCCCCAATAAAAATATGGCATGTCATGAACATCCGAAACCTAGTATTCATCCTTTGGGTTACATATAATTATTCTTAACTAGCTGTGCGACTATCAGCTTTTCAGGATGCCCCCACACACACTGGTTTTTTGGTCTATATACGTGTGTTGGCAGAAATAATAAAAGGATAACTGAGACAAAACTTGTAGCGTCAATTTTATGTTATAAATATTTTATTAGGAGTACAACCGTCGTTCTTTAGATCAAGATTGAGAATTGCCGAAGTCGACTCTTTGTGTTTGGGCACTTTGCTTTCGTACCATTTTGGTCTGTAACCGTACCTGAAAGACAGACATTCATGAGCATGAGGCCCGTTTCATGTTGTAGATTACTAAGAACTGTTTCTACACATTAATACAGGAGCAGAAAGTTACATTGCTGTGAGTAAATTACTGGATATGTTATTCAAGAGTAACAAACAACTATACTTTGTATACACATATGTGCTGTCTTCAAGTGATAATTACTTCATCTTTGTTAATTCTGTCATGTATCTCTATAGGCTAAACAAAATGAATTTTAATCCCATGCTACATTTAATAGTTACACTGTTATTAAAAATAGTAATAATAATAATATTTATTTATTTATTTTAATGTGCTTTATAACAGGTGATAAGCTAATTGCAGGTAAAAAGCCAATTATATCAAGAATTAAACTAAGAAACACACACACAATAAAATTAAAAATAAGTCTACAACTCCACACGGCGTCTCAACCCAAAAAACCAACATCGTTAAAGTTTATTCCCAGCACCACATGGCGTATGGGTTCGGTGGAGGTTAAGTTCCATGCATTCTGTATATAGAGTTTTATAATTTCCGTAATAACAGATTTTGTTTACAGTTTGCTTTTGCACTGTGCTGTGTCTTGTACTGACAGAAGACGAAAGGGGAATTTAGTAAGCACGAAATTCTGAATAAAAGATCTGGGAGAAAGGAATTGACATTTCTATCTTTGTGATGTACAATAAACTGGTCGTGGCTAAGTATGAAGCTTTACGCTGTTAAATCGTAAACAAAAGAAATAAATAAATTAGAAATAAAGAAGTTGTGAGCTAATGGTGTCCGTCATCTTGACTCAGCGATCATATGGAGAAGGCAAGCACCTCCCGACTGCTGCAGCTATTTTTGGAACAGCGGGTGGCTCCTTCGTAAGGATACACCGCACCAAATTTGGTGCCCACGGCAGAAGCAGCTCCTACACTTTACAGCTAAACTGTGCGCGCTCGTATTTGGATAAATGTTGTATCAAATTCGATACAGACTTCTGGTGGGAGCCACGTAATTTACATAAAACACAACATTACTTAGGACGAGATTTGAGGTTCTCGCAAACCGAGTATGAAGTCGGTTCTCTTCTCAAATATTACGCCGTGTAATCTGGTAGAAAGTGACCGACATTTCAGAGGTACATACTGCCTCCAACATCAGGGTGACGAGGGTCGTAAGCATCTCTGAAACGTCGGCTAATTTATACCAAACTGCATACTGCAACATCCCAAAAGACAGTCATCTTCGTTTTGGACTTTGCTTTAATTTTGATGGGTTTTTTTTTTTGTGGCTGGACGACCGAGGTTAGACTCCCGACACGGGTAAAGGACCTACTTTTCGTCACCGCGTTCTAGGACCCACCCAGCAGTTACGATGGAAGGGGTCAGAGGCGCGTCGGTCTGAAGGCCTAGTGCTCAGATTACGAATGCGTGGAGCCTTTCCTCACCTCCCCAATACGTAATCATGAAATGGTGCTGAACGGAGCACATGGGAAATTTTTATTTTGCTTTGGGATTTTTTACTGAATAACAAGTTAGGACTTGCGTGGAATTTGTGCCTGAAGTTGAAATGTTGCTAAACGAATGTCAAACGAAACAAAAACGGAGAAGTAATCTTCAGTAGACTTCTTACACCAAATTTCATGGCGTTTAACCCTTTAAAGCCGAATTTTCTGGGGGTGGGAGGAGGACAGAAAGAGAATATTATTGTTTAAAGGTTCCCAGGTAATTCCCGTTCGTCCTTCTTATAGGGACAGAATAAGAGTGAAGACTTTAGAGTAAAAAACAGAGAAATCTTGATGATAAGAGACGACAGATTTTTCATGTTCTTATTAATAATCTTGAAGTTATGTAATTTAGAGACCTCCACAACAATTAAATTAATTTAAATTAAATTAAAGGGCTGTAAGAGAAACATGAAGTACCAACTGTAAATTGGGAACAATCTCAGCATTTGCTTAAAGACAGAAGAAAATCAAGACAACCTGTGCCAAGACCCTGTGAATGCATATATAGTACTAACCAAAGCTTGTCTAAATAATTTTAAGTTCAGTCTGTACTGCAAAGAAAACACAAGTCTCCATTATCACTCTCATGCAGAGTTACTGACTGTTAAAGCAGGCGGTACGTACAATTACCACCCAGCTTTAAATGGTTAGTCAAGGAGTCCGCGAGGAAACTCAGATGCGATATTGTTCATATTATGCAAACATCAACGACTGCTATAGAAGAAGCGGACAACGAAATCACTGCTATGACAGAATTTTCGATACGGTGAACGGGTTACCTCCTTTTAATTAAGTGACCAAGTGAATGTAAATAATATTTTTTATTAAATGACACCCATAACCGAACATTTACTTCCGTAACTAAACAAAAAGTCATCACAACAATAAAGATGATAGGTAGGGAAAACTCCGGCTTCTGTCCTGGGATTAAACGAGAATCTGGTGGAGAATAAACTGAGAGGTAGAACTGAAATTATTAAAAATTGTATGGGTTTTCATATTAGCACATTGCTATTTAAGCTAAAAGTTTTCAGTCCAGTAATTTCAGTTACTTGCATTAATTTATTGTCTGACAATTAATATAGGTCAGAGGGCGCAACTGACGTCCTGAAGACTGAAGCAGAACTCAGCTTCGAAACGTTGATTTTATTTGTAATTTAGACGACGGACCAAGTCCAATAAAAGAACTTTACATATTATAACGCACCATCATGAGAAACATTAAAACTTCAAATCGGTGGTTGCTCAGCTGTCCAAATTCAAACCACATATTCACAATCAAGTTTTCTAGTAAGGTTTGTTTTGATATTTTCCCTTTCTGTGCTTAGGGATTTCTTGGTGTTTTGTAGCAAATATTTTATACGCATTTCTCATTTCCCATTAAGTCGTACATGCCCCAAACATATTTAGAGTTATCTTTTTGAGTTAATCTTACTTCATTTTTCGCATGTACACACCTTATAACTCTGAATGTGACCTAAGGACTGCAATACGAAATTTAGTCTGAATCTGTTCGCACACATGAAAGGATAGATGAAACATTTACAGTGTCGGCAGACACAAGTTACCTGCGTGGGTGGAAACAAGACAGAGTTCACGGCAGGTACCGAAATAAATCGGGAAGTCCCGAATACGAAAGGCACTCCAACACTCCGTTAATCTTTGAATAAAAGGATCGTGACCTATTTTAAGATACAATTCTTCTAAAATGGTTAAGTAAAAATACTTGAAATGTATCAACTTAATGTTAAAATTGCATATAAATCTTCACCTTACGGTCTTACCAGAGTTTATGTTCATATCGCGCAATTTCCTATGAACAGACATTCTTAGCTTATTTAACGATGCTGACTCAATTAAAACAATGAAGCCTTTAATCACTAAGCTGAGAGATAAATTTAGTCCAAACCATCACAACCTCTTTATACTAGATCAGTTTAAATATTTTATATTTCTATGTGTTTACTTTTACAAACGCCCTTAATATTGTCTAATACAGCCTGAGTGTTTTATGGTATTTATGTGTTCGCCCAAGAAATTTATATCATCACCGCAGAACAAGAAACGTGTCTCATTCCAATCCTTTCTAATACAGAGTTTCTACTGCA